TTTTTTTTTTTTTTTTTTTTTTTTTTTGCTCCAAGACAATTTTGTTCATTCAGAAACAGGGTATCATCAACGGCTTTTTGCTCACATTCTAGGGCAATTTTGAAAAGCTACTTTCTTTTTTCAATACCTCAATATTCTTTTAAGAAGTAGTACTCAGACTTAAATTTTAAAGAAAAAATAGCCGATAATGGAGTACGTACGGGCTTAAAATTGAAACCCTAGTTTAAAAATCCTTATTGAATTGATTGAAACACAAGCTCAAAAAAACTGAATCATAATTGTTATTTTTGTCATTGTTGCAAGGAATGACGTGTATGAATGGACCATATCTCCAAAAATTTTGGAAAACCCATGAAACTAATCTAAAATTGAACTTGCACGGACCTTGTTTGGTTCCTCAATTGAGCTAATTTTAAACTTAAAATTTCTAAAAAGTTCCATAAAAAAAAAAAAATCTAATCTTATGAGCATCTAATCTTATCAACTTCACATTGGCCATGGAATCTTAAGGACCTCAAGTCTTCTTGAACATACTCAATTTTCCACTTGATTCTAACGGTTAGATTTCAAGATATGAGTGGTTTGGTGCAACTGATTAATTATAAAACCAAATATGCAGAAAATCTATTGGCATGGGCATTTTTCGTAATTAAATTTCAACGCTCCAGTACCCATTACTCGCGAGGAGTAACTACACAGGTCGATTAAGATGCGTGTTAACTTACAGGCATAGGTAACATTGAGGATTTTAAGGACAGGATAACTCTTGCTGCCATCTACCAAGCAGTCCCGAATGACGTTCTTCTCATTTTAGCAGAGAAGGATTCGACAAAGGCAGTGTGGGAGACGCAACAAACAATACATGTGGGAGTGGAACGTGTCATTCAAACTTTTTCTAAAATTCTTTTCTAGTTTTAGATTATTTTTTTTTTGTTGAGCATCTTAAAATTCGTTTTCAACAAGGAATTTCAAAATTTATAATTAATATGTATGATGGTTCAAGAACACAAAACGTTTGAATTGAAATAAAAAAATTAAAAAAAAAACACATTAAATGAAAGTTTAGCATAAGGCAATGTTTTTGGATTTTATTAGTATAAGAAGAAAGGAAGAAGATACATAAATGTGTTGGATGCATAAACACATTAAATGTAAAAAATTAAATTTAAAAATGGTAATAAATTAGTAATGGTTGAAGACAGATAAGCAGGACAATTAAATGATTATTTTAATTTGGATTTACTCCATTTGTATCCCAAAATTGGCATCATTTATGACATTTGACCTTCTTTGTTTGCCATTGCTGTCCATTTTGGTTGCTTATCTGGCAAAATATATATATATATA